AGACACAGTGAGACAAGGCACCGAAGGTGCCTCCAGCAGAGCATGAAGTGCTCTGCTTGCTTCCTGTGCCGAAGGCACAACAGGCTTGGGCTAGTCTATAAAGTAAGGGAGAACGGGTATGGGGGAAGGGGTGGGACGGATTTGGGCATTTCCGCATAGCGCACATGGTGTCAGTAGGCCTCGCCAGCGTCAGCTGGTGCAAAGGTTAGATACGGTTATTTCGCTAAGGTAGCTGAAAAAAGCATCCCACGTGGTTCTGTCAACCGGAGTTTGAATTTCCGAAAATCATTGTCCCCTACTATACGAGCTCGCTGTCCAAAATTGGGAATTTGTAAAAATTGAGCCACAATGGGATACACCAAGCAAATAGAAAGATGGGATTGGCAGGTGCTCACTGGCCCTCCATTTTGCACAACAACAATGATTTTATATGTACTGTAACTGTGGTACATGATGATAAATAGTAAAAATTGAAGGACAAAAAGGGAAAAGAGAAAAGAGAACACCAAGCCAGTAGAAAAATGTGAAAAATGGAAAAATGCGAAAATATAAAGATGGCAAAAATTGGCAATGGGTAAACAGGAGAATGGGAAGATGGAGAATGGAGAAATGGTAGGCAACAGAAGGATGAAAGAACAATGGGAGAATGGGAGGACAACAGGAGGACAACAGGACAGGACAATGGGAGGACAATGGGAGGATGAGAGGACAGGACTACAGGAGGACAACAGGATGGGAGGACAACAGGAGGACAATGGGAGGATGGGAGATGGGAGGGACATGGGACATGGGACACAGGACATGGGACACAGGACATGGGACACAGGACATGGGACACGGGACACAGGACACAGGACATGGGACATGGGACAATGGGACAATGGGACAATGGGACATGGGACATGAGACACAGGACACAGGACACAGGACAATGGGACACAGGACAATGGGACAATGGGACACAGGACAATGGGACATGGGACAAGATAATTGGGAGGAAGTGTATGAGTCAATAGCATGACACAAACAGTTTGACTGAAGGTTACCTGGGACACTGGCTTGCATCCTGCTGGCCGAGGCATGAGGCCACTGGGATCGCAAGCCAGTGTCCCAGGTAACCTTCAGTCAAACTGTTTGTGCAACATCCCATAACTAAAACAAACTATATAATGTAAGATGTAAGAAATTATTGATTTGTTATAATTAAATAATATGTAGACACATTGGGGCAAGGCACCGAAGGTGTCTCCAGCAGAGCACAAAGTGCTCTGCTTGCTTCCTGTGCCGAAGGCACAACGGGCTTGGGCTAGTATAATTCACAGGGACTGGTTTTGTGGCTGTGTGTGGGAGACGTGTAGCTCGCTAAAGGCCACATGGGAACGCTTAGCTCGCTTAACCTCGAATTTAGAAATTTCGCGTGGTTCTGTCAATCGGAGTTTGAATTTCCAAAAACCGTTCTCCCTTACTATATGACCTCACTGTCCAAAATTGGTTAAGCCACAACAAGGGATTTTGGGATAGAAAAGAACACCAAGCAAATAGAAAAATGTGAAAACAACAATGATGTATATATGTACTGTAATTGTGTATACATAAAAATGTGAAAAATGCGAAAAATGCGAAAAATGCGAAAATATAAAGATAGGAAAAATGGGCAATGGGTAAACATGGGAATGGGAAGGTGGAGAATGGAGAAATGGGGTGAATGGGGAGATGGGAGGAGGAGGACAGGAGGATGGGAGAACAGGAGAACAGGAGAATGGCAGAACAGGAGAACAGGAGAACGGGAGATAGGAAAGCAGAAAATAGGACAGAGACACGGGAGAATTTTTTGGGAAGGGCAAGAGTCAACAGCAAGACACAAACAGTGAGACTGAAGTTTACCTGGGACACTGGCTTGCATCCCACTGGCCGAGGTATGAGGCCACAGGATTGCAAGCCAGTGTCCCAGGTAAACTTCAGTCTCACTGTTTGTGTCTTGCTGTTGACTCTTGCCCTTCCCAAAAAATTCTCCCGTGTCCTCTGTCCTCAGAACTAAAATAAAAGTATATAGTATTTTGTAAATGTAAGATTTAATACAAATAAATAATATGTAGACATGTGCCGAAGGCACAACAGGTGTGGGCTAGTCTTGTATCCTGGAGAACTGTTTCACTGCTCTCGACATCTCACAATTTCAAGTATTCTTACCATCCCATCGTTGGATGCGCTTACTACCCACTTACCGTTTGCACTCCAAGACTATTTATACGAAAGTTGCTTTGGCCTTTTGAGAGGAATCGCAAGAGTTTTTCCGTGAATCCGTAAGTGAATGGCCAGCTTCAGGCTCACGAGACACAGCGTTCAGTCCGACTCACACAGATACTCTCCGATCACAGATGCGAACGATCAACTGCCAGGTGAGACAGTGGGAGTCATGGAAGTCAATTTTAGGCCGCGTCCCATGCGTTCTCTTCGCAGGTTAAGTGATATGTGGATGGAGCTCTCAGGTTCTGCGACTGGCATTAGACGTATCTTTCTATATATCAGGAACTATATTGATGTTGATAAACATTCAACAGAGCGCTTTCCTCTCTGCCTTGCATGAGCCTGTCTGTTTTCCGAGTCGATACTCCCCAGCATGTTTGCGGATTGTGCAGCATGCTGTTACTGCATGCTATGCGAGTCCTGCCCTGCTCATATTCTGTATTTTTCTGATGCAGACTCCTCCCCCTCGTCACCCTCGATACCAGCACCCGCGTGCTTGTTGCCATGAACATGTTATTTACGAGGAGGTTATGGACTCGTGATCCCGCACCACTCGACAGTGCCATATGTTATCGCGGACGTTCTCTAGAATATTTTTTCAGACAATTGGTTCAGCTTGGGCGTATCGTTCTGGACACTAGGATCCTCCATCCTCTTCACGAACTGCCCCGACCGATGTGAGACTTCGAAATTTTCAAGCGGTCTTCCTCATTTCAGGCCACGAAATCCATGGTCGATGATGCAAAGATTTCCCCTGCGCACGCGCCGCCTTTCTCTGATGCAACATTCTGTGGCGCTCATCTTTTGAGGGAGGTCTAGGCCTCATCGACGGATCGACGGATAACTTACCGACATGAAGGAGTCACTCGGGCATCAAGCGACACTTCCCAATGATGAAGTAGACTTGATCTGTGAATTATGTTGCAAGGTAAGCGTTGTATCAGAACACTGACCGTTTGCTGACTCCTTCCATCGAAACGAGGTCGACGAGACCAGCGGATAACGCTGTCCTTATGGCCCCGATTTATTTCAATAAGGAGGCCTGTGGATAGGCTGCTGGAGCCCTTTTTCGAAAGCTGGTTCCAGCGGCGTCTCCGTATCATTTGCTGTGGGGGAAGCTAAGCTGTTCACACCAGACAAGTGGAAGGAATGGGTTGCGATTCACAACGGCCTCGCGGACGACCCAAGCACTCGATTTCGTTGGTGAGGTGCTTTGGTTGTCGACTTGTTGATTATCGCACATACCCCAGGTATTTTGCACTCATCTTTCTGTCGTTACACGCAACTCGTGGCATCAAGCATAGACCAACTGCGGTGAAGAAGGAGCTAACCCTATGTCTTGGACGCATTCATCGACTTTAATCTCCTTTAATCTCCTTTAATCTCCTTTGTTTGTCTCGTGCAGACGACCAAGAACTCGGGAGGCTTGACGCGGCGTTGACGAAGCATAGGTAGGGTTTCGCATGGGACTGATACCAGATGGGCAAGGCTTCACACAGCGGGAACGATGCATGATGCACGAATAATGGTACCACAATGTGATACATCCTCGCTGTACTTGTGCATGTACTTTATTGAGCATGAAGTTTAACGGTGTTTTCAGCGACATTGCGTGATATTTGAAGAGGATCCAAAGGTATGTTTGTCGCAGTGTCGCATCAACATGTACCGCGTCATTTTGATCTGCCCTTCCTTTGTGCGTGTATGATGACTCCACGTCTCTTCTTATTCTCATTTCCTCGCTCAGCGCTTCAACAATGAGACTGATTCACTACACTTCTTCAGTACTCCCCTCGGCTCATTGGCCACTCGATATATGACCCCGTTATTTGTGCGTTGATCGTCAGGCTCTATCTAACACTACAAGTCATCAGCGAAAACAACTCAAATAGCTGCATTTTTCCAAGACAGACTTGAATTGAATGGTTGGAAGGTCAACTCGTATTGCAGGAAGCACTTGAGCAAAAGAATGTGCACCGCTGCAATAGTACAAATATTACTGTACATGCCAAGCATTGTCTTCGAGAACAAATCTGATCAATTTGCCGAACAGCAGACAACTACTATACAAGAGATAATTCCTACAATGTTAACAAATGCACCGCGATTAGTGCTGCCGTGGTCCGGTTCGGTCCGGTTCAGAGGGTCCTGGACGAGAACCAAGAACCGAACCATGGTCCGGTTCTACAAAACCTTCGAACCCAGAACCGGACCACAGAGAACCGTTCTCTGTGGTCCGGTTCGGTTTTTTTCTGGTCCGAACTCGAACCGAACCCGAAAATTTTCAGTAGGGAGTGCGAAAAAAAACATTTACAGAGTCTCTGGAGCTTCAGCGGAAGATCTTATCCATCCCAGGATGTTCTGCGCCATCCCCATCAATGATGTGGACGGTTTTCGTTCCAAGTGCTATCATTTACAGAATTCTGTTTAGGTTCACGATCGCACAAGCCGTGAAGGTCTCTCGTGATTTGCGGATGGATCAATTAATGCAGCGTCTGGTACTGTGGGACGCATATCAAGGGCTTCTTCAAAGACAGATATGGGGATGTCGAGGTCGAGGTAGGTTCCATTAACCTGGCAACTAACGAACTTCGCGGTAGCTAGATTGAACAGTGCTGCAGGGCGGCAGGGATTATCAACAGGGCACAGATGAGAGGCGCGTTCGAAGTGTGTTATTGATTGATCGAGATCCCTGCTATTCTGCGTCCTGCGGTATCGTGCGAGGAGACAATGTCCGGCATCCGTCATTAGTATTAGCGTTGGTCCTGTGGGTGTTCTGGGTGGCTTAGCTCCTCACTCAAGGGTGGGATGGTATCATCGAGTGGATCCAGTACGGAGGGTGCCACGAAACGAAACAGCTGAGTAATGAGGCAATAAAGCATCGCCAGAATGCCTTTGGGAAGTCGTTGGTACATGCTGAATGAAGCTAGATGGCACGTACTATTGACAACGACTTGTAGCACTTCACTGATGACGAAATTTGTCTCCCCCGGATCCTGAGGGTGATTTGGTTCCTCTCCCAAGGGTGGGGGGCGATCATCGAGAGGATTAGGCACGAAACCTGACATTTGGATGATAAACTAACGCTTGAGAGTAAGATGTGTTAGAAGTCACGAACTGCTGCAGTGCCCGTAAAGTGCTGATGGATTATAAAGGAGGGAACTGCAGCATGCACGTAGCACCCAGTGATGTGCCGTACTCAGGTATATTGAAAACTTCCGGGAGCCGGGTCAACGGACGGAAGCGACTCGCAGCATGTCGAGCGACCCATAGATTCATTCATGGGCACGTTGTAGGGCACAACTGGATCAATTGAAACGAGTAGGCTGCGAGGCTCAAGACACGCAGGGCATTCTACACATTCGATTATGACAAGGCACCGCCTGAATCCCACTGCCCTCGGATCTCAACCCCATTCCATTGCTGTTGGACGTGAGTTACTAAGTATGTCATGCGAGAACGCGCGGAAAAGATCTCACTGTTTGCTATCAGAAGTAGCAACCTCGACACCGCCGCTAGACAATCTCTTGGGACCCCATACACTCAAAAATGGTGTGAAGGCTGTTCTGCGGCATGACCGGCGAGATGTTGGAATTCATGTCTTCGGCACGTCAAGACCTCTACACAGTTGCTTTCTAAAAAGCCACTGTCGGTTTCATCCTGATTCTCCACCTGGCTCATGAGCATCTTGGATCGAGCACTTCATGACGCGGAACAACGATGGGGCGGCGGTAATGTGCGTTGGTGAAGGGACCCCGTATGCTGTGGTATGTAGCATGGCGACCTTCCAGCCGAACTCCACGCACTAGCACGCATTGTAAAGGTCCCCCGATATCCGCGTGTTTATCACGTCGCAGATACTCGCCTGAAGACTTATTGACCACCCTTACGTCATGGTTATGAAAAGAATCCAGGCATGCTGGGCATCTGTGTGTATGATATCGTCAGTAAGTGCCACCTCAGTGAGTGACAGTGCGCAGAAGGAGTTGAAGAACTACACGATAGCTCCACCCATGCGTTCCACTTGCATCGAGTCAGGAATAGCAACGTGGTGTCGCCGGCGGGATCTCGTGCCTATATATGTGTTGGATAGATGTACTAAAATCATAGTAAAATGTGTCAGTAGTTAGTATTTACCTCAAAAAGGCTAAAGGCAGCCTAATTAACTGATAGTGCAAATCCCGAAGGCCAGTACTTCCTGACGTTGAGGCAAATGATGTCGAAGTCAAAATTGACAAGGGTTCGGAATGGTTCGGGAAGGCCGAACCAGAACGGAACCGTTCGGGAGGAGATAGAACCGAGAACCGTTTTCCGGTCCGGTTCTGGCTGACATGAGAACCATGGACCGAACCACGGAGAACCGGACCAAAAGTCTGGTTCGAACCATGGTTCTGGACCGGACCGCGGCAGCACTAACCGCGATAGAAGGGAATCGAAAATCAACAACATGTAAATCTGTACAAGACAAAAGCAATGGGACATAGAACTACACACCAATGTGAATGAAAACAATCCTCTGCTCGAGCGGCACCAACTTCTTCACCCCATGCGTAGCATAATTGAGTGCTTTTGCTGCCTTCGTACAGTCCAAGACACCATCCTTCAAATCCTTGAACATATTCTCGTAGAACACTTCAACAACGTGCTTGGCGACTTCGTCATCGACCACCCACAGCGTGCCAATCACACTCTTGAACCCTGAAAACTGTAGGCCAGCTGCGAGGTGGATGACCTCATCGGGCGTCTCTTCATCGCCGACGGC